TCCTGAACTGCGTTCTCGAAGGGCTCCAGTACATGCACGACAGGGGCCTCATTCACTGCGACATCAAGCCCGCGAACATCCTGATGCGAGGATCGCCGCAGACGCGCGGCTGCTTCGAGAAGCAGGCACTTGTATCACGCGAGCTTGGCGAATGGGATCCCGTCGCGCCGTGCCCAAAAAGCAAGCTGCAGTTCGACTGGCAGATCCCGAGTTCCTTCGAGGCGCTCGTCGTCGACGTCGTCGTCGCCGTCGTCGTCGCCGTCGTCGTCGTCGTCCTCCTCCTCGTCCTCCTCGTCCTCGTCGTCCTCGTCGTCCTCGCCGTCCTCGTCGTCCTCGTCGTCCTCGTCGTCGTCCTCCTCGTCCTCGTCGTCGTCGTCCTCGTCGTCCTCGTCATCCTCGTCATCCTCGTCGTCGTCGTCGTCGTCCTCCTCGTCCTCGTCGCCGTCGTCCTCGTCGTCCTCGTCATCATCATCATCCTCGTCATCCTCGTCGTCGTCGTCATCCTCGTCGTTCCTTCGACTACCAGATCCCGAGTTGTCAGGGCTCACATGGAGCTCTAACATGGCACGTGATACCATGTTAGAGCTTCCAGGGAGCTCTAACATGCTATGTTAGAGCTCCCAGGGAGCTCTAACATGCCATGTTAGAGCTCCCTGGGAGTTCTAACCTAGGATGTCAGATCTCCCCAGGGAGCTCTAACATAGCATGTGAGAGCTCCGATGGAGCTCTAACATAGCGTGTTAGGGCTTCCACGGAGCTCTACCATCGCATGTTAGAGCTCCGACGACGCCGTCATCGACGAGGTCAGAGCTCAGCTTATCTCACTAGCCTTCACGTTAGGTCTCACACCGAGTTCTAACAAGGGAGGCTCCACCCTTCCCCCGAGATGCCGTCGTCGTGCCCTCTATCCCGCCCTTCCCTCCAGGGGGAGCTCAGTCGCCGTCGCTCCCCTCTCCTCCATCCGCCCCTCTCCGCAGGTGGTGCTCGGCGACCTCGGCTGTGTGGAGATGGCGGATCCCCACGGCAGGTTGAAGAAGAAACTGCGCTACAGCCCGACCTGCGATGACCTCGGGGCATGCGCGCCCGCTTACAGAGCGGTCGATGTTTTCTTGGGGAACCAGCGCTACTCAGAGGACCTGGACATGTGGTCCATCGGGTGCCTGATGGCGGAGTTGTACACGCGCAAGGTGTCGTTCCAACCGGGGCCGTGCGGCGCGCTCGGGCATCCCGGAGGGCACCCGAAAGACTTCGTGGTTTTCTCCAGGGAGGTCTTGGGGATCCCAGGCAAGGAGCCAGGGGCGGGGGACTTCTACGATTACGAGGACCAGGAACCCGCCCCGTGGCTGGACAACCTGCCTTTCTTTAAGAAGTGGTTCAAGCGGTCGGGCGAGGATTGGCTAAAGGCTGAAACAGCGAAGGCGCTCGACGGCCGAGGGCGCTGGCCCGTTGGCCGAACTTGCAGACTGCCCCCCAGACTTGTTGAAGGCCGCCGAGAGCTGCCTGCTGTGGCACCCTGGCGCCAGAGCGACAATCAGCCGTCTAAGGGCGCGTCGCTTCCTGCAGCCGGCTGGCGCCCAGCTCGACGTGCGCATCTCCATGGCGCAGGGGAAAAAAACGGCGCGGGCGCGATAGCGGAGGCGGAGCTGGACCCACACTTGCTCCGCTTCTTGCAGAGAGACCCGTGCTGGCAGAACTTGGCCAAGGAGCGCCTGGACACGGGGGCAACCGTCTCCAAATGCGTCCGAGGCGACGAGGCGGCAAAGGGCTTGAAAACAGAAGTCGCAGGCATCGTGGGCGACGAAAGCCACCCGAAGTGCCGCAGCCTCAACAAGGCGGGAATTTGCAGATCACCCCCTCGCCCCACATGGCCGCCTTCGTGCGAGCGCTACGGAAGAAGATGTGCCCGTGGCTGCAACAGCTGGGAGACAAAATGCGCGAGGCCGTCAAAGCCGATGGCATGCCACTTGCCATCGTCGAGCAGAGCGGAAGCCCATCATGACAGAGCACTTCGCCGACAACGCGTTCGCGTACGCATCGATCCAGCTCATGCAACCAGGCGCACGGGGCGATGGTTGGCACACAGATGGTGGATGCTCCCTGTTGCACGCGGCCGTGACGCTTTTCGGGGCGCGCTCCGTGCAAGTGAGGATCCCAGGGGGAGCACGTGACGGGGCGGCGCCCTCGAGCACGGCCTCCTGCGGAAGGGTCGTCACCCTCGAGCAGAAGCCTGGGTCCTTCTACGTGGGCACCCTGTCCTCCCTCGAGCACAACGTGCACCACCGCGCCTCCGCGGACTGCCAGGACTGTTTCGCGACCCACCACGAGCTGCAACATCGCGTAGACAACGGCAGGCTGCAGATCGCCGTCGTGATCCGCTCCGACGTCTTTCGGGAGTTCAGGGCGCGCAGGATCGACGCCACGCCTGGCCCGAAGGAGTTCTTCAACGTCGTGAACCACGTCGTGGCCGATCACCTGGCGCGGGTCCCCGTGGCGCTGCCCGACCTCGCGGAGGTGCTTGACGAAATGCGGTGGCCCGCTTCCACGGAGGCTGTGGTGCTTTGCGATTCCGATTAGGCTGCAACAGTATCCGAATCCGATTAGACTGCCGCAGTACTCAGCATCATCATCAGCATCATCATCTTCATTGCCGTCATCGTCGCAATCATCGACTTCATAATCATCGTCATCATCATCATCAACATCAACATGTTCACGCCGCCATCATCGTCATGCGGGTCATGATTTAACCATCATCATCACTACATGATGATGACGATGACGAGGAGATGATGATGGATGTTATGATATGACGATGATGATGAGATGGTGATGGTGATGGCGATGACGCGGACGATGATGAATATCATGGAAAGAGCGTGTTCTCCCGCTGCTGGCGGAAAACCGGGGGGGGTCACTACTGGTTCGAACCCCTCCCCCCCCCCCCCCCCTCCGGAAAACCGGGGGGGGTCACTACCGGTTCGAACCCCCCCCCCCCCCCCCCCTGCTCATCATGAAAAGGGGGGGGGGGGGGTCACTACCGGTTCGAACCCCCCCCCCCCCCTCCTCCGGATCCGGAAAACCGGGGGGGTCACTACCGGTTCGAACCCCCCCCCTCCTCGAAAATCGAGTGGGGGTGCGGACAGTGGTGGGGGCGGTGTTGGCGGGGACAGTGGCGAGGAGATAGCGGGACAGTGGTGCAGACAGTGGGACAGTGGGACAGTGGTGGGGACGGTAGTGGTGGGGACAGTGGTGGGGACAATGGTGGGAACAGGGGGGGACAGTGGACAGTGGTGGTGACGGTGGTGGTGGGGACAGTGGTGTGGGGACAATGGGAATGAGGTGGAAACAGTGGGACAGTGGAGGGTACAATGGTGGTGGGGACAGTGGTGAAGGCGGTGGCGAGGACGGCGGTGGGACAATGGGACAGAGGTACAGTGGGGACAGTGGTGGGGACAGTGGGGACAGTGGTGGGAACAGTGGGACAGCTCAGTGGGACAGCGGAGGAGTCAGTGGGACAGTGGGGACAGTAGGGATAGTCGGGCAGTGGTTGGGGCCGTGGAGACAGTGGGGAGAGTGGAACCGTGGTGGGAATAGTTTTGGGGACAGCGGGAACAGTGCGACAGTGGTGGGGCCACTGGTGGGGACAGTAGGGGCGGTGGTGGAACCAGTGGGGACAGCGGTGGTGAGGACAGTGGTGCTGGGAACACCAGTGGGGGATGTGATGCGGACGGTGGTGGGGACCGGGAGTCGTTTGCTGGCGGTGAGTAGGGGGGGGGGGGGGGGGGGGGGGTTCGAACCGGTAGTGACCCCCCCGGTTTTCCGGATCCGGAGGGGGGGGGGGGGAGGGGTTCGAACCGGTAGTGAACCCGCCCGGGTTTTCGAGCGGGAGGGGGGGGGGGGGAGGGGTTAGGGGAGGGGGGGGTTTTGCCGGGGGAAGGGGGGGGGGGTGGGGGGGGCAGGGGGGGGGGGGGGGATTTCGGAAGGGGGGGGGGGGGGGCGACCCCGGGCTCCGGAGGAAAAGGTTGGCAATTTTCCACAGTAAAGCGGCGGTGGATCACGCTCTCTCATATCATGACGACGATGATGACGATGATGATGACGATGATGCACAAACCGAATGAGTCAGTTGAGCTCCAAAACCCCGCCCTAAAGACAGCCAGTATTTATGGATTATGTTTGAGCACCTTTGGAGCATCTTCTGGGTATTTTTAGTTTTTCGCCCAATATCCCCCTGTAGCGGGACACGCCCGACTTAAGTCGAGGGTTCACTGGCCCGCCCTCCCCCTTCCCCAGATCGGACGGGGCCCAGGGTTCCACAGCCCCCCCCTCCCCCCCCCGATGGCATTGGGGAGGGCGACGACGCCGACGCCGACGCCGACGACGACGCCGACGCCGACGACGGCGACGACCACGCCGACGACGCCGACGACGCCGACGACGATGCCGACGACGACGACGACGACGACGACGCCCGACGACGACGACGACCGACGGCGACGACGAGCCACCCTACAGCTACAGGGGGAGGGAGCGGGGGTGCACTTGCACCCTCCACCACGTCACGCCCACTGGGCCATGACCGCCAGGGTGGGGAGCGACTCTATTCAGGAGGCCTTCGCGAGGCTCACGAGCGTGCCCATCCAGCGGGGGGGTTGCCCGATTCCATCTGCGAGGGGGGGAAGGGGGGGGCGGCAACCCCGGATCAGATTCTGGGCCCAGGACGAGCCTGGCCAGGATCCCTGACATCCGCCGATCTGCGTTTTCCTGTCTGCGTTCGCAAGAGTTCCTGACCCCGCCCCGGATCTTATCTGGACCGTCTCGGTCCCGAGCACGGCCCCCGGGGGGGGCCGACGGGATCGCCAGGGGAACAAGTGGTATCGTTAAGTCGGGCACGTCCCTCTACAGGAGGAATATTCAAAAGTAGTAGGAGAAAAGGCCCTTCTTAGTCATATCGTTGGAGATCCGGGGCTGGTACGCGAGCACGGTCCTCGCCCTCCCAGGAGAAGTGGGTCGTGCCGCTGTGGTCGCTGGAGGGGCCCCACGAGGAGTGGGCCGCCTGGGCCGACGCTGGGGCCGAGCCCGGCGTCGAGGGCGGCCGCGCGGAAAAGCAGCGAGCTCCATCATGACTTCCTCCGCGTGTGTCCTTGGGCACTCCGCCGTTTGCAGTCCGAGGCGGGAATTTATCCATATCCACCGCCTGGAGGGTCAGTTTTCGGAGACTCGGCAGGCGGTGGATATGGACATATTCGGGCCCCCGGGGGCCGAAATATGTCCATATCTACCGCCCGCTGGGCCACCAGGACGTTGGTGCACAGGCGGTGGATATGGATAAATCCCCGCCTCGCATGCAGTTGATCGCCCGCCAAGGTCAACGCCTCGAGCCGCGCGTCTGCCGCCGCTCTCGCGCCGCCTGCAGGTCGTGCGCTCGCTCCGCTGCCCGCCCGCCTCGCCCTGCGGCCTCGCGCTCGCCCCACGGCTGCGCCCGGGGCTGGGCCATCGGCCCGAGGCGTGGACCGACTGGCGAGCGCAGCGCCCTCGTGCCTCCGGGAGAAAGTTCCTAGGTCGCCTGCGGGGGCGCGAAGGTAATCGAGCTTGACGCACTGCGGCCTGGGCCGCTGAGGCGCTCTCCTTCAGGGCGGCGGCGCGAGGGTGCGACGAGCGAGGTTGGGTGACCCAAGAGTTCTGCAGCGCTCGATGCGTTGGCGCCTCCAGCGCCAGAAGGCGCTGTAATAATCAGCTGCGTGAGCCGATTCGCGAACACCCCTTTGCTACACTCCCTCTCGGCCGATCCGAAGCGGGAGCAGGCGAGGGAAGAGGGGGGCGCCCTGTTCTGCGCCCCTTGTGGCCCAGGCCATGCCTGCTTACCGCGGGGCCTCGCAGAGGCCCACGTTGGCCTGGCCAACAAGGGCGGTGGCAGTGAGAAACTCCAGGTCGTCTTGAAGCCTCTTTGGCCCTCCAGGGCTCCCGTGGGGCTTTCCTGGGCCTCTTAGCATCTCCTGTGGCTTGCTTGGGCCGTCATGGGGGCCGCGGGTGCCTCTTGGCGCCTCCCGGTGACCCCCGCAGGGCGTCCTGGCATTTCGTGCCCCTCCGCGCACCTCGGGGCCTCCTGACGCTGTCTGGGCGTCCTGGGGCTCGTCCTGGGGCTCTTCCTGGGGCCCTTCCCCGGGCTCTTCCTGGGGCCCTCTACTCGAGCCTCCTGGGCCCTTCCTGGGGCTCGCCTGCAGGCCCGGGCTGGCCCTGCCGCGGCGCTTGCGCCGCGTTGGCGTCGCCGGTCGAGGGCAGCGGGGCGATCGTCCGTCGGAAGGGGTGGCCCGGCCACCAGGCCCCTCCCCCTGTTGCGATCGCCTGCCTCCAGGCGGCGCGCCGCGGGCGGCGGGCGGCGTGGCCGCGTGCGGTCTGTGGGTCGAGGACTCACCCCCTTCGCCCAGACCCGCAGGGAGGGGAGCAGGGGAGTTTTTGGGGGAGGAGGGGGAGGAGGAGGAGGAGGAGGGAGGAGGCTGGCTGGCTGGCTGGCGTCCATCCCGCTGGGGCGGCGGGAGGTTGGAGGGAGGAGGAGGAGGAGGCGGGAGGAGGAGGAGGAGGAGGATGGATGAGGGAGGGAGGAGGAGGGAGGAGGAAGGGAGGAGGAGGAGGAGGAGGAGGAGGAGGAGGAGGAGGAGGAGGAGGAGGAGGGGGAGGGGGAGGAAGAGGAGGAGGAGGAGGAGGAGGAGGAGGAGGAGGAGGAGGAGGAGGAGGACCAGCGTAAACCCAAGAGTCATCAACGATGTTGGAATTAACCCTCCCTCCAAGCTCCCTCTTCATAGGCCCCTACAACGGTCCATGTCCATTGAGGTAACTGCCTCGTTGGAAGACAACTGTTTGAAGATCCTGAAGCATGCCAAAATATCATTCTCGGGATTTCAACGCCACGTATCAACCTGACTGCAGCGTTTTGACGACCCGGACTCGTGCCATAACGCCATTCCTGGGATTCCAACAACGCGAATCAACATAATTGTTGCACCCGCATAATCCTGGATGTTTCCAAAGCACAATTTCTGGTACGTTGGTCATGGGAATCCGTGAAGCTCTTGCAAAGTTTACAAACAAATGTGCGTGGCGCTAAGGCGAAAGCCACATTTCGAAAACGATCCGCCCTCAGTCCGTGAAGCTCTTCAAACTTTGAGAACGAATGTGCGCGGCGCTAAGGCGAGAGCCACATTTTGAAAATCACCCACCCTCCATATGTGAAACTGTTATCACTTTTTATGTTTCAGAGTCATACATGGTGAGGAAATCTCCGACGAAACGCCCGGCCCGCCCTAAAGTCTGGCCTCCGGGTGCGACTGGGAGAAGTTATCTATAAGGAGAAGGAATGGATGATGATGATGATGATGATGATGATGATGATGATGATGATGATGATGATGATGATGATGATGATGATGATGATGATGATGTGATGATGATGATGATGATGAGGAGGAGGAGGAGGAGGAGGAGGAGGAGGGAGGAGGACGAGGAGCAGGAGGAGGAGGAGGAGGAGGAGGACGAGGAGGAGGAGGAGGAGGAGGAGGAGGAGAGGGGAGGGGAGGGAGGGAGGGAGGGAGGGAGGGAGGGAGGGAGGGAGGGAGGAGGGAGGAGGGAGGGGAGGGAGGGAGGAGGAGGAGGAGGAGGAGGAGGAGGAGGAGGAGGAGGAGGAGGAGGAGGAGGAGGAGGAGGAGGCCGACCGAGAGGATCAGGGGCAACTTTGCAGGGCCCACTTGGACCCGATCGCTCCGATTCGATGACGATTCCAGCCGGCCTGATCCGATTCGATGCCGATAGCCTGGCGATCCGGTGCGGCCCGATGCTCGCATGGCACTGCTGTGCATCCTGGCACGGCCGATCCTATCCGATTCCGACTCCGTGCCGATGCAGTCCGATGCGACGCAGCTTTCGATCCGATCCGAGTTTCCGAGTCCGTGCAGAAACTTTCGGAGCTCTGCGCGGACCTCTGTCAGTTTATGCTGATGCAGTTTTTCCTTCGTCTGGGACAGGCTCAGGGGCTCCAGCGTTTGCGGATGTTTCTGGAACTTTTCGGCGGTTCCTGTAGGCTGGGTAGTCGAAGGCCAGACTGTAAGATTGGATTGGGCGCCAAGGGCCAATCTGGCCCGGCCAAATTGGATGATTTGGGTTATTCGCCAGACTGGATTCGCGTTGGCTCCCTCGCCAGATTGCCCCCGTTTGCCAGATTGGGCCTGCCAGATTGGCTTCGACTACCCAGGTAGGGCTCTTTGCCACGGGATTCGTTTCGGCAGCTGCGCCTCGCCGAGAGGCGCCCTGGGACGCCTGGGATCGTTCCGAACGGTCGCCGGAGAGCCGAGTTATGGCCCGATCGCTGGGGGGACTGGCTCATGGGGCATCGTCCCCCAATCGCGCACTCATCGCCGACAGGGGCCGGACAGCCCACCCCGCCCAGGAGCGTGCGGTTCGCCATCCGGGGGCCCATTCTATCCGGCGATGCATCGCCGATCCCAGGTCGATGCTCCCCCCCCCCTCCCGGAGCCAGTCCCCCCCTATCGTCTCTTCTGAGGACTGGCAGCCAGGATGTGTGTGTCGGAGGTGGGCAGACCTCCTACCCTGACGCGCTGATTCAGGAATTGGTCGTTTGCGGTTCGCAAGAGGGCGTCGCGGCCGTCATTTTTGCGGGTCCAGGTCCGCGGGTTTCGGCCCCAGGCCGTTTTCACTCAGGGGAGGTTCACTACGTGGAGGTTTGTCCACCGCCGAGTATGCCAAGCCCAGGCCAGGGCAATTCTGTCCTGGACCGTTGTGCAGACCCCCTCGGCCCAGGCCAGGCCGCTCCAGTGCCGGGCCTGACAGGGGGCATGCCCGCACGGGCCTGGCCAGCATGGGCGGGCGGTGGTGGTGAGAAGTTCCCGGTCGTCCAGAAGCCTCCCCGGCCCTCTGGGGCTCCCGTGGGGCTTTCCTCTGCCTCTTGGCGCTTCCTGGGTCGCCGAGCGCGTTCCACTACTCGCAAAGGGCCTACTCGCAAACGTCCGAACAACGCATGTCCGTTTCGATGTAATTTCTCGTAGATCCCCCGCGGCGGATCCAGGCCATTTGCGAGTAGTTACTTTGCGAGTAGTGGAACGCGCTCGTCTACTGGGGCTTCCCCAGAAGTCTCGACCTGCTCTCCTGGGCCAGCTCTTCGCTCCGAGTCGTTTTTTGATGCTCCTGGGGCCGGCGAGATCCCCCAGAGGCAGAATATCGCAGAGAAGCCTTCCGCCCCTTGACTCCTGTCGGCACGGCGGCCGGAGGTCTGAGGCTTGGCTTCTCCGCGGCCAGTTCTTCGCCCCAGACCCATTTCTGGTGGCCCTGGCGCTCGCGAGCGGGCCCGCCCGAAAGTCTGGCCTCGGGGTGCGACAGGGAGAAGTTATCTATAAGGAGAAGGAATGGATGAGGAGGAGGAGGAGCCCAGAGGTCGACCTCGAGGAAAAACGTTCGGATTGAACGAATGCCAGGGTTCGCGGGTGCCTCCCCAGGAGGGCCGGACCGCTTCCCCGAGGCCGCACTCTCGTCCCGGGTCGTTTGTTGACGGCCCCGGGGCCCGGCCAGGGCCCCCGGGGTCATGGCGCCGACATCGCAGAGCGGATTCGTTCGGAAAACGATAGGATGGGCCCAGAGGGTCCTGGAGAAATTCGTTCCGGATTTCCAGGTGAAGTTCGTGCGGATTTTTTTGGCCAGGACTGAAGACCAGAAACAAGCCACGCGAAATTCACTTCGTATTTTTCGTTCGCCGTTCTGGGGTTGTGCATTGACAGGCATCCACGCAAAAATCCGCTGCAGCACATCTGCAAGGTCAGTGCGGTGACCAGAGGCCGCACACAGCAGCAGTCGAGCCGTCGCGGCCCTTCCACGACGCGAGGGTTGCCTGGGGATCGGTATCGTTTATCCGACCCCCATCCCCATAACCATCCACTTTGAGACCCCCACCAAATTACCCCCCTAGTTGGGGATACATCCCTCGAAACCCGAAGGGAACGACCTATATCCCTATCCAGGGGGGCAAAGCGGCCAGTGGGGTCCAGGCCACGCCGCAGAGGATGGGGATCGGTTAAACGATACTCAATGGGGGGTTGGCCCATGCCTCCCCTCGCCCCTGAGGTGGCTCCCGAAAGGGTCCCGAGAGGGCACCTTTTTGGCCCCAGCACCACCCGCCCGAGAGCCACGAGGCAAAGGGCGACGCAGGGCTCGCCGTTCGGTTGGAGCTGTGCCCCTCCTTGTCGCCTTCTTCGTCTTCTCATCGTCCCCTGTTGGAGCTCCAACTGCATTCGCTTTCAAAGCGAGGCCAAAGCGTCTCCGGCTTACCAGCCGTGGCTGGGGGGTCTGAGCTCTAGGGGCCAGGAGACAATCGGTCAAGGAGGGGGATGAGGAGAACTCCGCTCAAAATCGGTGCCCCGACCCCTAAAGGGGGTCCATCTGGTGCAATTTTTCATCACGGATCCGTTTTTGACGGTCCTGGGGCCCGAAAACGGCCCCCAGATACCTTCGCGAACTCAGCACTTCTAACTCAGCGCCTCGAACCTGCCCCCCTCCCCCCACGTCCTGCTGGCCGGAACCAGTGTCAGGCCACCTCTGACCCGCAGCCGATTCCGATTCTCATGGGGCCGTTATTTTCTGGACGTTCATCGGTGGCCACCCCCCTCCGCGTCAGGGCTCCCAGATGGGGTCGGAGGATCGCGCCGCATCGGCGATGCGGCTCGATGTGGAGCCCGATTCTCTCCACGCCGACGTTGCCGATGCACCGCCGACGTCGCGCATCGGCGATGCGGCACCATTCTCCGACCCCATCTGCTCCGACCCCATCTGGGAGGCCCCTGCGTCAGGCCCGTCCCCATCTGGACTCGGCCACGCGCAGAGGGGGGTAGGGGTAGGGGGGGAAGCTTTTTTGAAGCCGTGCTTCTTGGAAGGCGCGGGCCTTGTCTGTAGATGTCAGGGCGGCGCCTTCTAAGAAGCAGCCTCCTTCGAAGAAGCCTCCCCCCCTTTCCCTGCCCCCGTGTGCGCGCCGCCACCGGCCCTCTCGACGGGGCCCAAAGATATACAACTCCACCACTACCTCCCTCCCCCCCTCCCTCTCCCAGGGAAGAGGAGAGGAGGACGAGGATAGACGAGGGAGGAGGAATCGACGTGGTGGTGGTGGTGGTGCATATTCTTGGGACCCGTACTCTTGGGCCGGACGAAAGGGGGGGATTGGGAAATGGGGGGTTACGAAATCTGCGGCCTGCAGCTGCTTTCGGCCCCGCCGCTCCGGGCCCATTCCTCGATACATGGCCGCCTCCAGGCGCCGGGAGGCGCCGGGAAAATCAGCTATACGCGAGCTGATTCTTAAACGCCCTTTTTGCTATCCCCCCCTTTCGCCCGGCCCGATACTCTCTGGACTGTCGCCGGCGCCGCCCCCCCGCGCGGAGGATCGGGGCTCAATCTAGAAATCGTCCGACACGTTCCAGAGCCGGGCACAGAAAATACCGCGTAGTCACAGCTTGAGAGTTCTTTGTTTCCGCAGGGCTCTAACGGGGGTCAGCCAGAGCGCAGTATCTTGCAGGATCCTGTATGGACAGGGTCGCATTGACCTGGGTTTGGGTGCATGATCCTTCAGGATCCTGCAGGGTCTTGCAGGATCCTGCAAGGCCTGACTGACCCGGGTCTGGATTCTCCGATGCAACTCCTGGGAGGTCAAATTCTGATTTTGCACTGGTCCGAAATCCGGCTTAATCCGGCTTGATCCCGCTAATCCCGCTTAATCTCGCTTGATCTCGTTTAATCTGGTTTCATCCCGCTTCATCCGAGGCCCCCTCCGGCGTCACAGCTCCCAAATGGGGCTGAATCCCCTTCAATCTTTCCGACGAAAACCTCCCATGGTAGTTGCCTCCTAATGGATTGACCCGGGTCAGAAGACCCCTGTTGGCCACGCGCAGAAGGGGGCAGGTGGAGGGGGGAAGGCTTCTTAGAACCATCCCTGGTTCCTAGAAGCGGCGGGCCGTGTTTGTAGATGTAAGGCCCGCGCCCTCTAAGAAGCAGCCTCCTTCTAAGAAGCCTTCCCCCCTCCCCCTGCCCCCCTGTACGCGCCGCCAACCCTGAGAGGAGCTCGCTGGCGGGGCGGAGGCCCCCTCCGGCGTCACAGCTCCCAAATGGGGCTTAAGATCCCCCTCAATCTCTCCGACGAGAACCTCCCAGTGGTTTCCGACGAAAACCTCCCGTGGTAGTTGCCTCCTCATGGATTGACCCGGGCCAGAAGATCCCCTGAGAGGAGCTCGCTGGCGGGGCGGAGGAGCTGCGGGCGCTCCAGGCCGCCGCGGCGGGGGGCGCCGCCCGCGAGGCCCCCCCCGCAGGGGCGCCCGCGGCCTCCGCGCGGTGCCGGCCGCCGCCTCCGAGGGGCCTGCGCGTCTGGCCCTTCGCCTGCGCAGTGCCGGAGGGAGGAGAAGCACACAGGCACGATTGGTTGTCTCGGAGGTGGACAGACCTCCTACCCTGACACGTCCATTAGTGAATTGTCCGTTTTCGGTTCGCGAGGTGGCGTCGCGGCCGTCATTTTTGCGGGTCCAGGTCCGTCGCCTGCGCAGTGCCGGGGGGAGGAAGAAGCACACAGGCACGACTGGTTGTCGATGCCCACGAAGACGTGGGAACATATGGTTCGGGGGTGGACAGAACCCCCAACAGTGACACGTCGATTAGTGAGTTGTCCGTTTTCGGTTCTCGAGAGGGCGCCGCGGCCGTTATTTTCCAGGCTTGCGCCCGCCAGGTTTGGGCCCGAGGTCGTTTTCACTAAACCACGTTTTACTAAAGGGAGGTCTGTCCATCCCCGAATGGTTGTGGATGGCGATCAACGGAGAGGAAGCATGCGGCCAAGCAGTTTCCAGGTGTCCCAAACATGTGTTTTCAACATGCTTTAAGCATATAAAACACATTTTAGAACATGTGTGGAACATCTTCTCCGACATTTAAAACAAATTTTAGTTTCAAGGGTAGGACTGTTAGGGTGTCCATTGTCGTGGCATCCACAACGATTGATTGTCGATGCCAACGAAAATATGGGAAAATATGGGAAGTGGGGGGGAAGGCGAAAACCCAGAAAACATGGGAAAGTGTGGGGACTCCTGCTGTTTGTGTGTATTTATTTGAAAGAGCGTGTTCTACCGCTGCTAGCGGAAAACCGGGGGGGGTCACTGGGGGTTCCTAACCCGTCTCCCCCCCCTCGAAAACGGGGGGAGGGGGTCACTAGCGGTTCGAACCCCCCCCCAGTCCATCATGAAAAGGGGGGGGTCACTACCGGTTCGACCCCCCCCCCTCAAAAACCTGGAGGGGGTCACTACCAGTTCGAACCCCTCCCCTCCCCCCCCCCTCGAAAATCAGGGGGGGTCACTGCCAGTTCGAACGCCCCCCCCCCTCGCCGCCAGCAAACGATGCCCGCTCCTCGGGACAGTTGGGTTGGAGAATGGTGGGGATGTTGGGACAGTGGTGGGAACGGCAGTGGTGGGGACAGTGGTGCGGGGACATTGGGACAGTGGTGCGGACAGTGGTGGGGACGGTGGTGGTGGGGACAGTGGTGAGGGGACAGCGGGACAGTGGTGGGGACACTGGGACAGTGGTGGGGCGGTAGTGGTGGGGACAGTGGTGGAGGCGGTGGTGCGGACAGTGGTGGGACAGTAGTACAGTGGGGAAAGTGGTGGGGACAGTGGGGACAGTGGGACAGTGATGGACAGTGGGGGCGGTGGGACAGCACAGTGGGACAGCGGCGGGGACAGTGGGACAGTGGTGGGAACAGTGGGGACAGTGGGACAGTGGTGGGGACCGTGGGGAAAGTGGGGAGAGTGGGATTGTGGTGGGACAATGGCGGGGAGAGTGGGGACAGTGAGACACAGGTGGGGGCACTGGTGGGGACAGCGGGGACAATGGTGGGAAGAGTGGGGACAGTGGGACAGTGGTGGTGGGGTGGGGGGTTCGAACAGGTAGTGACCCCCCCCACCCGAGGTTTTCGTTTTCGAGGGGGGGGGTTCGAACCGGTAAGTGACCTCCCGTTTTCCGGAGGGTGGGGGGGGTGAACCGGTAGTGACCCCCCCCTGGTTTTCGAGGGGAGGGGTTTCGAACCGCTAGTGACCCCCTTCGGTTTTCTGGAGTGGGGGGGGGGTTCGAAATGGTAGTGACCCCCCCCATGGTTTTCGAGGGGGGGGGTTCGAACTGTTAGTGATCCCCCCCGGTTTTCCGGAGGGGGGGGGTTCGAACCGGTAGTGACCCCCCCCTGGTTTTTGAGGTGCGGGGGGGGGGGTTCGAACTGGTAGTGACCCCCCCCCCGTTTTCTGGAGCGGGGGGGGGGGTGGTAGTGACCCCCACGGTTTTCCGAAGGGGGGGGGTAGTGACCCCACCGGTTTTCCGAAGGGGGGGGGGGCGGTTTGGAGGGGGGGGTTTTGCCGGGGGAAGGGGGGGGGGGGGTCCAGCAGGGGGGGGGGGAATTTTCGGGAGGGGGGGGACCCCCGGGTTCCGGAGGAAGGGGGGGGAAAAGCCGAAAGTCCCGTAATATGGAAACACATGGGATCCTAGGATTTGTGTGTATTCATTTGTGTGTCCCTGGGCGCCTTCATTAGGTGGGTGTCCGCCTTGTAGGGGCCAAGCAGAGGTGAGCGACGCCAAAACACGGGGTCGTCTGCGCCGACATTGGCGCGTAAACTGCCCGCGTAAGGTCGCGCGTAAGCGTCTTCTTCTCCAGAGTAGCGTGCCGCGCTGGCGGCCCGCGTAAGCCACCGCGTAAGGTCGCTACGCCATCTCGCGTCAGACCCGTTTTTGATCGGTGCTCAGGTGAGCTCGATTCCTTGGAATTTCCCTTTTTGGGGGCGTCTTTGTCTCAAGAAGATGTGCTCCTGGGTTTTGTCCTGGGCAAATCCTTTGGACATGCTTCGCCCAGGCCACTGCTTTTCTCAGGGCATCCGTTTTCCGTAGTTTGCCCTTGGTTGACTCTGACTCCCAGAAGTCTGACCCCTATTAGCAGGCGAATGGTCAGGGACATTTTTTTCACCACGGGCGTTTTCGCCCGGTTTCTGAAAAATGCTGTTCACAGAAGGGATCTAGGGCTTTGGTCGTGTTTTTCCCGGTGTTCTATTATGTTCGGTTTGAGGTTTGAGATCTTTGGACGGTTTCGCAGGTCCCCGGAGGCTTTTCAGCATCGGGATGCCTTCCAGCGGCTGCGCCTCGCCGAGAGCGTTCCAGTGGTGCCCGAACGCCAATCACCACTACCAATCGGAGGCGACGACAGGGGCGATCTTGGCGGGGGATCAGCTCAGGGGGGTCACGCATCGATTCCCAATCGCCCATTCATCGCCGATAGGGACCCGATGGCCCGCCCCGCCCAGGGTGCGGATTCGCAATCGGGGGCCTTTCGGCGATCTATCGGCGACGTCTCGCCGAGTCAAGGTCGATGTATCTTGCCCTATCCCGTGGAGCCCTTCGGAGAGCCTTTCGTCAGGCCTTCGGAGGGCTTTGGGAGGCCTCCAAAGACCTCCGACGACATGATTTTTCCCAACCACCCTGTGGTGTTGAGTCCACGTTTTGAAGAGAAAGCGCCCCGCGTCCCTCACTCCTCCAGCTTTACTTCCTTCCCTTCCTCCTCCTCCACCTCCTCCCCCTCCTCCTCCCCCTCCTCCTCCCTCCCTCCCTCCCTCCCCCTCCCTCCTCCCTCCCTCCTCCCTCCCTCCTCCTCCCTCCTTCTCCTCCTCCTCCTCCTCCTCTTCCTCCTCCTCCTCCTCCTCCTCCTTCTCCTCTTCCTCCTCCTCCTCCTCCTCCTCCTCCTCCTCCTCCTCCCTCTCCTCCCATCCTCCCCCCTCCGCGTGCCCATAGGGAGTCGCTCTTAAGGCCCAAATGCCAGGGTTAGTTTGGCGTACCCGCACCCGATTCGGCACGCCCCTCACACGTTTCGCGGCCCCATAAGGAGCCCCAACTAAGGCCCAAATGCCAGCGTTCGTATGGCGTGCCTGCACCCGATCCGGCACACCCCTCACACGTTTCGTGGCCCCACAGGGAGCCCCAATTGAGGCCTAAATTCCAGCGTGCCGCCGCACCCGATTCGGCACACCCCTCACACGTTTCGTGGCCCCACAGGGAGCCCCAACCAAGGCTCAACTGCCAGGGTTCGCATGGGGCACCCGCACCCGACCCGGCACACCCCTCACACGTTTCATAAGGAGGCCCAGCTAAGGGCCAACTGCAGCGTTAGCATGGCGTACCCGCACCCAGTTCGGCAAACCCCTCACGCGTTTCGTGGGCCCAGAGCGAGCTCCACCTAAGGCCCCAGTGGCTGCGTTCGCATGGCGTACCCTCCCCTGATTCGGTACACCCCCCACGTTTCGTGTTCCAGTAGGGAGCTCCACCGAAAACTCCATGGCGTACCCGCCCCTGAGTCGGCACACCCATGACTCGTTTACTTGAAGGCCCCAGTGGCAAAGTTCGCATGGCGTACCCGCACCCGATTCGCCCCCTCCCTCTCCCCCGCCCCCCATTCCCGCAAGTTTCGGGGCCCCGTAGGGGGCTTTATCGAAGGCCCCAGTGGCTGCGTTCGCATGGCGTGCTCGCCCCCGAATCGGCACACCCCTCGCACGCTTCGTGGTCCCAAAGGGATCTCTAACGAAGGCCCTATTGGTTGCGTTCGCATGGCGTACCCGCCCCCGAATCGTTACACCTCTCACACGTTTCGTGGCCCCATATGGCCATAGGGAGTTCCACTGAAGGCCGCATTGGCTGCGTTCGCATGGCGGCAATGCACGTGATTCGGCACACCCATCTCGCGCTCTTTCGTCCCACTTGCCCTGTGGTATTCGCATCTGCATATGGTTGGGTCCTTCGCCAGGATAATTTCAACCAGCGTTTTTCGTGGATTTCGGCGCCCAGGACCCCCTCATCGGGCCCCAGGGCCGTCATACATGTATCCTGGGCGACAAACTAGCTCTGGGCAGGGGTCGGAACCTCTTCAGGGCCGCGGAATCAAGCAATCACACCTGCGGATGTCAGCGTCTTGAGGCCCCTGGAGCGTTTGGAGGGATTGCCCAGATGGCCGTCGGAAAAGCAGTTTTTTGTAGACTCCTGAAAGTTTACGTTCATGGAGGGGGGGCGGGTGTGGCGAGGCCCGGAAGGAAGGCTATCTGGACTTTGCGCAAGTCGGGCCTTACGTGCACGCCGCTTCGGTCCAGCCCTGCTTGAAAAGGCGGCGGAAGGGGGTGTGGAGGGGGGGAGGGCGAAATGCCGTGCAAGCAAGTTTGCCGTGCATCTGAGCAAAAACGCGCCTTTGGAGGGCCTCGAGAGGCCTCTGGAGGCCTCTGCGATGAGGCCTGTGGA